GGCATAGGGTGTCCAGCACTGTAGCTTGCTGGTTGTTGAGTGAAGCTGGGTGCTGGTGTTGAGATGGAGATCTCTGGGAGATTTTCGCTGTTTGATATTATGTGGAGCTGGGAGGTCTCTTGTGGACCAGTGTCCTGATGTTGGCTCTCCCACCTCAGAGGCACAGTACTGACTCCTAGCTGCAGCACCAAGAGCCTTTCATCCACACGGCTCAGAGTAAAAGGGAGAAGAAAGAAAGAAAGAAAGAAAGAAAGAAAGAAAGAAAGAGCGAGAGGGAGGGAGGGAGGGAGGGAGGGAGGAAGGAAGGAAGAGGAAGGAAGGAGCGAAGGAAGGAAGAAAAGAAAGAGGTTAAAATAAAATAAAATAAAGTTATTAAAATAAAAAATAGAGCTTCCCTGGTGGCGCAGTGGTTGAGAGTCCACCTGCCGATGCAGGGGACACGGGTTCATGCCCCGGTCCGGGAAGATCCCACATGCTGTGGAGCGGCTTGGCCCGTGAGCCATGGCCACTGAGCCTGCGCGTCCGGAGCCTGGGCTCCGCAACGGGAGAGACCGCAACAGTGAGAAGCCTGCGTACCACAAAAATAATAATAATAATTAAGAAAAAAAAATTTTTTTAAGGAAAAAAATGGATAGAACCCTAGGACAAATGATGAAAGCAAAGCTATACAGACAAAATCTCACACAGAAGCATACACATACACACTGACAAATAGAGGAAAGGGGGAAAAACTAATCTTGCTCTCAAAGTCCACCTCCTCAATTTGGGATGATTCGTTGTCTATTCAGGTATTCCACAGATGCAGGGTACATCAGGTTTATTGTGGAGATTTAATCCGCTGCTTCTGAGGCTGCTGGGAGAGATTTCCCTTTCTCTTCTTTGTTCGCACAGCTCTCGGGGCTCAGCTTTGGATTGGACCCCGCCTCTGTGTGTAGGTCGCCGGAGGGCGTCTGTTATTCGCTCTGACAGGACGGGGTTAAAGGAGCAGCTGATTCGGGGGCTCTGGCTCACTCAGGCCGGGGGTGGGGAGAGAGGTGCACGGAGTGCAGGGCGGGGCACGGAGTGCGGGGCGAGCCTGCGGCGGCAGAGGCCAGCAGGACATTGCACCAGCCTGAGGCGCGCCATGTGTTCTCCCGGGGAAGTTGTCCCCGGATCCCGGGACCCTGGCAGTGGCGGGCTGCACAGGCTCCCCGGAAGGGAGGTGTGGATAGTGACCTGTGCTCGCACACAGTCTTCTTGGCGGCGGCAGCAGCAGCCTTAGCGTCTCCCGCCCGTCTCTGGGGTCCGCGCTTTTAGCCGCGGCTCGCGCCCGTCTCTGGAGCTCCTTTAAGCGGCGCTCTTAATCCCCTCTCCTCGCGCACCAGGAAACAAAGAGGGAAGAAAAAGTCTCTTGCCTCTTTGGCAGGTCCAGACTTTTCCCCGGACTCCCTCCCGGCTAGCTGTGGTGCAAAAAACCCCTGCAGGCTGTGTTCACGCCGCCGGCCCCAGTCCTCTCCCTGCGCTCCAGCCGAAGCCGAGCCTCAGCTCCCAGCCCCGCCCGCCCCAGCGGGTGAGCAGACAAGCCTCTCGGGCTGGTGAGTGCTGGTTGGCACCGATCCTCTGTGCGGGAATCTCACCGCTTTGCTCTCCGCACCCCTGTTGCTGCGCTCTCCTGCACGGCTCTGAAGCTTCCCCCTCCGCCACCCGCAGTCTCCACTCGCGAAGGGGATTCCTAGTGTGTGGAAACCTTTCCTCCACGGCTCCTTCCTACTGGTGCAGGTCCTGTCCCTATTCTTTTGTCTCTGTTTTTTCTTTTTTCTTTTGCCCTACCCAGGTACGTGGGGAGTTTCTTGCCTTTTGGGAGGTCTGGGGTCTTCTGGCAGCGTTCAGTAGGTGTTCTGTAGGAGTTGTTCCACGTGTAGATGTATTTCTGGTGTATCTGTGGGGAGGAAGGTGATCTCCGCGTCTTACTCTTCTGCCATCTTCCCGATTCCCCCTTGCGCCTGTCTTACCCCCAATAGTCTGTACCTGACACTCCCTCCCACTGATAAGCAGTAGTTCATTCTCTGTATTTGTGAATCTGCTTCTTTTTTGTTGTATTCACTACTTTATTGTATTTTTTAGATTCCACATATAAGCGCTATCATACAGTATTTATCTTTTGCTGTCTGGCTTATTTTACTTAGCATAATACTCTCCAAGTCCATCCATGTTGCTACAAATGGCAAAATTCCATTCTTTTCTGTGGCTGAGTAGTATTCCATTGTGTGTATATGTGTGTGTGTGTGTGTGTGTGTGTGTGTGTGTGTGTGTTCCTTTTTATGGCTGAGTATTATGCTATTGTATATATATACCACAGCTTTTTTATCCATTCATCTGTTGATGGACACTTAGGTTGTAGAACCTTGCTAATTTGTTGCTGACTTGGGTCATTAACTTTCTGACCTGAAGCAAGTTATACAATTTCTCTAAACCTCAGTTACCTTAGCCAGAAAGCATGTGAACTAGATGTGATCACCTAAGAAAAATATCTAGAAAGGAAGAGAATCCTCTAGGTTGTAGTTTACTTCTTTCTCAGTGCACCTTTGCAGTTCATGCTAGCGTGGATCTGAATTAGAAGGTTGGCCGTCTTGACAGAATGTGTTGGGAAGAGAATGGAAGAGTCATTGCAAGTGTGGGCTATGCAAGCGGAGGAGGAAGGGAGAACCACACACAGCTGATGCAGGAGCGGGGGCCTGAGGGGGTCAGGACACGGACACCTGGGAGCCTAGTGGATGAGGAGAGAGGACCTTGTAGTAAGAAAGGCGCCAGCATGGCCTTTGCTTATCTTGAATTTTTCCTCAAGCCAGTATTGAAAATGATCCAGATAGCTGCTGTGGATTGCTTAGGTCTTTTTTTTTGTGGTACACAGGCCTCTCACTGCTGTGGCCTTTCCCGTTGCAGAGCACAGGATCCGGTCGCACAGGCTCAGCGGCCATGGCTCACGGGCCCATCCGCTCCGCGGCATGTGGGATCTTCCCGGACCGGGGCACGAACCCATGTCCCCTGCATCGGCAGGCGGACTCAACCACTGCGCCACCAGGGAAGCCCTGGTCTTTTTTTTTTAATAAACATTTTGGTTACAGTTTTATTTTAGAGGACAGTTCTTTTTTTATTAAAGTATAGTTGCTGTACAATCTTATGTAAGTTACAGGTGTACAGTCTTTTTCATAACTGAGTAGTATTCCATTGCAGATATGTACCATATCTTCTTTATCCATTCATCTATTGATGAAAACTTAGGTTGCTTCCATGCTTGGGCTATTGTAAATAATGCTGCTGTGAATGTTGGGGTGCATGTATCTTTTTGAATTAGTGTTTTTGTTTTTTCTGGATCTATACCCAGGTGTGGTTAAAAGCAGGTCACAGACAAACCCTGTCCTCCCTCCTGGTTGAAGGGCTCATGGTGTTGGCAGCTACCCAACAGCCTCTGAGAATCATCTGTGTCCTCCTCCCATCTCATTACAATGGCTTGTCGTCAGCCTCGTTGCTCCTTGGAGGTTTAGGGCTCCTTCCACTAGAGGCTTTCGCTAGTGAGACCCTACACTGGCCCTTTAGATGGCTCAGGGGAAGGTGCCATAGAAAAGAGAACCAGGGGATTAAAGAACAGACAAGAGAAGAGTAGTCTGTCCAAAGACACAAAGGTAAGAAACAGCATGGCTTCTTCAGAGAACAGTAAGTCAGGCAGCCAAGAATGGTGAGAAAAGGGAGGAAGGTCAGCTAGGGAGGACCAAAATTATGGATGGTCTTAAATGCTATGGTTATTAACCCTCAAGCCAGAAGCTCTTAACCTGAGGACGGTAGTCTCTTCAGGTGTCAATGAATGGGTTAAAGGAGCTCCATGAACCCCCTAATATTATATACAAGGTGCGTATATTTTTCTGGGCAGAGTTTGTAGCTGTCATCAGATTCTCAAAGGGGTGTTTCGCGGAAGCTTAGAACTATGGGCCAGGACTGTTCTAGGCAAAGCCCACCGAGGGTCTGAAGGGGGGCAGTGGCAGAGAGGCGAGGGAATGGATACCGTTGAGGTTAGCAGGGTGGGTGCGGCAGGATTTAGTGTCCCAGGAGATGGTGGAAATGAGGCATAGGGGGAAATTCAGCTCGACTGCCTGGTTTCTGGCTAGAGGGACAGGAGGGTTTAGGGAACATGGTAGGTTGGGTAGAGAAGGTCACGATCGTGAGGGAGGGCTGCCATCATCCATCATGCTCTGAGGAGGTGAATAAAAGACCAAGCATGTTTCCGCTGGTGTTTGCCAGCCTGTGCCACGGACAACCTGACACCCTGCACTCCTTTCCCAGAGCCAGGGGTGTGCCAGCACCCGGGCTGTTGTCCATCACTACGAGCTGCCAGGCATCTCTCAGCTCTCCGGATAAGAGCTCCTCTGCGCTTGGCGGGTGCTGGCTCAGGCCCAGAGCCCAGCAGGCAGGGTGTTCTGACTGTTTGGAGACATCTGATTTGTTGGAGAAAACAGTCCTTAATAGCCCAGAAAGAACACAGCTTCTACTTAACGGTCTGGTTAGAATAGTTCCACTCAGTCACTAGTTCGCTTTTATTAAGGCCCCATTCACGAAACAAACAAGTACCATTTCTTTTAAAACCATTGGTTTGGGTCCATATAAAGGCAAAGCCCTTATGTATTTGGAGAGGATGGTTTTAATGAATCTAAATGGAAATGGTGAGGGAAAAAGAGGAAAAGCGAAACAGGTTTCTATTAACGTGTTTTCAGCTGCATCAGGAACAAAAATGAGTTACAGAAGACAAAAATCTTGGGGAATTCCCTGGCAGTCCAGTGGTTAGGGCTCCACACTTCTGCAGGGGGCACGGGTTCGAACCCGGGTCAGGGATCTACTATCCCTCATGCCATCTGGTGCAGCCAAAAAGAAAAATCTTGATGAGTTGTGTGGACCTGGTGAAATATTTCTCTTTAATACAGTTTGAAACATTCAGAAACCTTTGTGTTGACTGTATGTCTCATTTGAAGTCCCCAGCGCTCCATCCTCTTTGAAGATTGTTAATCCAACGCTAGATTCTCTCACTTTGGAATGGGAGCCACCAAGCCACCCGAATGGCGTTTTGACAGAGTACACCCTAAAATATCAGCCAAGTAAGTTATGGGGAGAAGGAAACAGGGAAATATGGTTTACGAAGGAAAAAAACTGTTATCTTAAAATACAAACGGGGTATTTCTTTACAGATGTAGAATAGATACATATACCTTCAAGTGTCATTCTGGAAGGAACTTCAAATCATACTTTTTAAAGAAAAATGACATGTGCTTTTGAAAATTAAATAACGTAGGATAATACAGACCTTGAGCATGGGGTTTAGGTGCGTGCTGTCATTATGTATGTAGGCGTCATGTATTGTATAACCAGCAAATGGTAAGAAGAGGGGTTTCTTTGGCACAAGGCCTCTGAAGATGAGATTTAGGGTTATTTAACAACCCATGACTCCACCTGCAAAAACAAAGACTTGAGAAATGCTATTGTGATTCAACCAGAAGATTCTCCCAGCTTAGAAGCCCATGGAAAATGTATTTCCCCTTGTTACACCATATTATAGGATTTTTTTTATGGTTTATCCCATAGTTTATTTTTTTATATTTAAAAGGTATGCAAAAACAAAATTAAATATCTATGTATATATATTTATATATATACATACATATATTAATATATGCATTTGTATTAGAATCGCTGTGAACCTTGAGATTATCTTTTTTTAAAATTTTTATTGGAGTGTAGTTGATTTATAATGCTCTGTTAGTTTCAGGTGTACAGGAAAGTGAATCAGTTATACATATACATATATCCACTCTCTTTTTAGATTCTTTTTCTATACAGGTCATTACAGAGTGTTGAATAGAGTTCCCTGTGCTATACAGTAGGCCCTTATTAGTTATCTATTTTATATATAGTAGTGTGTGTATGTCAACCCCAATCTCCCAATTATAGGACTGTGTAAGGTTATCAATTATGTCGGACAAAGAGTGAGTAGGATTACAAAAGTCAGTGTAGTCCAGGTTTAACATTTTTGGTTGACATATTTATTTACGATAGTATTCCTACAGCAATGAATGGGGAATGCACTTTGTTCTTTTTTTTTAACGGAGGTAACATTGGTTTATAAAATTATGTAAGTTTCATGTGTACAACACTGTATTTTGACTTCCATATACACTACAGCGTGCCTACCACTAAATGTTTAGTTTCCATCCAGTTGACCCCTTTACCCATTTCAACCTCCCCCCATTCCCCTTCCCTTCTGGTGACCATTGTTCTGTTCTCTGTATCAGTGTGTTTGTTTTCGTTTGGTTTGTTCATTTATTTTATTACTTTATTTTGTTTATATTCTTATTGACAGTTAACAGCACCCATGAATTAGGCCCTCTGGTGGATTTGAAAATTCCTGCCAACAAGACCCGCTGGACTTTAAAAAATTTAAATTTCAGCACTCGGTATAAATTTTATTTCTATGCACAAACAGCAGCAGGATCAGGAGGTCAAATAACAGAGGAAGCAGTAACAACTGTGGATGAAGGTAAGATGGTTATGTATAAAATCCGCATAACTAGACGTATCGTGAGACAAAAATCTTGGAAGCTGATGCTTTTTCTTTCCTTCTTACCATGGAAGTATCCATGTTACCCAATTAATACAAACACTTATTTGTAACCTCTCATTCTGATATATATATATATAAGCAGCTATTTAATTCATACTGGAATAATGATTTGATGTTTGTTTTTTAAGTCCCTATGAAATTTTTAAACATATTAAAATATTGAGGTGAGAGTAGGAAATTACAGTATTTTGCCACATTTAAATTCAAAGTTCACGGCAATGTTTTTTCCTATCTACAACTTTACATATATACGCACACACACACGTGTAATACACACACGCACACACAGACATGCATACCTATACACAAATAAATATATGTAACTGTGGTTCTGATCTTGATTCACCAGAAAATAATTTGCTAGTCTACATACTGATTTAGGTTTTCTAGCAAGGAAATCAAAACAGTTATTAAATAAAGCATTTACTTTGTGTTTGAGCATGGGACTTCATAGTTTGCTATGCCATCTGGTACAGAAAGCAAAAGAGCCCCATTAAAGTATTTAGAAAAAGAATGAACACTTCCTTTAATACTTTTAAAAATGATTTTGAAAAACTTGAGATTCGATGAAAATGATCAAAAGCGTTGTAAAAGATTTTGCATGTCTCTAAATTGTAGAATTGCTTAAGGATCATTTCTGATTATCTTCCATAGCATAAGAAATTGACATTTTTACCCCAAAATTGGTTTGAAATCTCCTAAGCCTTCTTACATAATAGGCAAGTATGAATAAAGCACTTTAAGTAATGTGGGGATTTGATTACTGGTAAGTTTGGGAACAAGAACGTACCTTTGTCCCCTGTACCTGATGTGGTACACTCCATTCTTCTTGCATGCTTTAGCATTTTAAGAAGTGTTTTTATGTAGCTTTACATGCTAACTATATAGTGTCCTATTTCTGTTTCCCTTCATGAAAGCTGGTATTCTCCCACCTGATGTAGGTGCAGGCAAAGGTAAAATCATTCAACTGCATGACTTTCTACATGTGTGAAATTTGCCATGTTAACCATGGGGAAGTGCAGCATGGGTTAAAAGAGAAAATATTTAAAATAAGCTTTGAAGCACCAAAAGGAAGATAAGATCCTGCAAGATCTTGACTTTAAAATTCATGTCTAGTCTTTTTTTACAAGGAGAAAGCCACCCATTGAATTCACCTTTTCTCAAGACTTATCCCAGGTCCAAATCCTAATCTTGGCTTTTAATGCTATGACCGTGGCTAGACCAGACAGGACACAAACTGTACCTAGGACACAAACTGTACCTTTGCCACAGACCCTCGTGATGGCCATGCTGTCTGTGAAGGGTTCAGAAATGTTAGTCCTGTGATAAAAACAGCCAGTCAGAAATCAGACCATCCGAGCTTCCTGTTCTAATCTGATTTACCTGTACTCCTCCTAGACACAGTGCACACGTTGCTGGCATCACACTACACTGTCCACCTGGAATTTCAGCTTAGCCGTACTCCAACTGCCCTGGGACTGAAAGCCTCCCCAGTGGGATCCCCTCTGACCAAGTGTTCAGGCAGCCCGCATGCTCTGCTCAGCTGTGTTATTCCATTTCTGTCTTTGCCGGACTGCCTAAGTCTCCTGGGGAAGAGCCAACAATCACAGTGAATTACTCTTGTTCTCCTTTATTGCTCACAGCTCTCTGGATGAGGAAGACTGGTTGGGAGAATGGTGCTGGAATGAACTGTAGTATTTCTTCCACCCAAAGATCCCCCAGTCTTTGACTCTTGCCTATTGGTAGATTTGTCAGCTTTTTAAGGAGCAGTGGAGGCCTCCCTGCCTCGCATGGCACTGTTCTCATATAGAGCACCCCCTGTGCAGGGATTTTCCTGGGCTTTGACAGACTAAACAAGTACAAATTGGAATGAAGAAAAAGTCGACCAAAAGAAATAAGTGCTTTGCCCTAAGTTGTTCAAATCTTGGGAGCTCAGGCCTGGTCATATCTTCTCTTTTCGTACAAATCTTATATTCAGAGTCTTGGTAAATTTTAAAATGTAGATCAGGTAGATTTGGGAATGATTGAATAAGAACTGTGACCATTTTCAATCATCTTAATAATGTTTTATAGGTGTTTTTACCCTTGGAAGAACAAAGTTGTAAACATTCAAACATTCAAAATGTTTAGATCGTGGAAGGATGGAACCTCTCCTTTATAAGTGTGCTTCTTTCTGGGGATGATTAGATATCCATTAAAATCCGTGGTGGTTTGACAGTAATTTACTGCTGGGTTCCCCTTAGACCCTTTCATGGAAGCATTCCAGAGAAAGCCTGGCCTCTTTCCC